ACAAGATACTTGGTGACTGTGGGGGTTTAGGTTTTTGGGTTGTTTAAAGGTCATGGGTACCCGCACACTCATCCAGCAGGGCGATGGTACTGGTGGAGCCCCCAGCACTGGTCTCTGCAGAAATGTGGTGCCACCATAGCAGTCAAGTAGTGGCTGGAAAGCTGCTGGCACAGGCTGGCATCATCACTGGCCATCACTCCTTTTGCTCCCTCAGATTTGTACTCTGTTGCGGCCTAACGCCTGGACCTACAGACTCTAAAGGAGAGCTGTGCTTGCTGGGACTCCACAGCCCCATGTAGCACGAACTCGCCTTTTTAAACCCCCGGGACTGTGAAAGTCAGGACTCTCCTTGGCCATTTGCAGCTGGTGAACGTTGGCCTCCAATAAGCTGTGCTGGTGGAGGAGGGCAGGGGAGTGGGAAGTAAAAATGTCACCATCAATCACCGACTGCCACGGGGAAGCCTCAGCACAGGATTCATCTAAACCACTGCAGCCCGAGTGGTGTCAACGTTTCATTAACGGCCGCCTCAGTCTGCAGCGTTCTCCTTGCTGCACACCCAGCAGTGCTCACTCTGTACCAGCAGCAGATGAAGCCCCGCGGCGGCTCGTTCCCGAGCCCCTGCGCCTGCTCCAAGGGGCACTGCCGGGAGCTGCATCCCACCTGCGGGCAGGAGCCCGGGCTGCAGGGGAGCGGTGCACAGCCCCAGCAGACGGGTCCTGCCGTGGCAGCGAGCTCAGGCCCAGGCAATCCCACCAAGGCAGAGCAGGGCAGGGCACTGACAGTGCCGGGATGAACCATTTAAGCTGCCATTAAGAGGCTTTTCCGTTTCCTCTTGCTCTGCATTTACCATTCACAGTCTGCAGGACAAAAGCCTTTTCAGCACTAATCCTGCCCAACCTTTCTAGATGATGGGTGGTTCAGGCATAATGCCACTGCATTTATCACCTTCCTGTACTTCAACTTGTTGTGGATTATTTTCCACGATGGAGCAACCCATAACCCATCAAATTACTCATCATCCACCCTTCTGAGTAAAGCAATGCTCTCAATCAAAAGGATTTTACCTTTTTTGCCCCTGAAAGGGCACCAGTCCAGGTTAGAAGGGGAGCCAAGTACCAGAGACCCTTGACTTTGCTGGGCACTCATCCAGAGTTCTGTCAGATCCTTGTAATGCTCCTGCCACTGCTGGCATTTAAAAAAAAAAAAAAAAAGCAAAGGCCAAAGAAACGGAAGGAAAGAGCATTCCCTCCCCCCATCCCTCCTGTAAGTCATTTTCTCTGGCCTATTTTACAGGAACTGAAAATCTATTAGAGGAATAGCTTAATCCGGTTTGACTGTAATAATTAGGGTGCTTTAAAAAAACCCCTGACTAATCGTATAAAATGTGATTGTAGACAGTTCAGTGCACGACCCTTACACTTATCACTTGAGGTATTACTACAAACCAGAAACAGCTGGCAAGCATGGAGGAGGATAAAGGGGAAAAAAATCACATGCAAAGGGACAGGAGCTGTTCCTGTAACAGAGGCACTCGCAGCACCTTGAGCTGTCTTTCTAACATGGATCCAAGGCATGGAGTCACCTCCAAGACCCTGGACAGACACCTCTGTTTTTGCCAGTGCTGTGCCCTGCCAGCCACGGGGTCCTGCCATCAGCACCTCCTTTTCCCACACTGTTTTTTCCATCAGTCCAAGAGGATTTGAGTTAGAAGTGGAGCAATTCCCCTCGGGGCACGCTGCAGTCAGCAGATGTTTGTAGCAATAATGGGCAGCTTTTCCAAAACAAGACAGTTTGTATTATTCAAGCAGAATATAGTGCTTTAGGGTCATTGGGTTAGGACAGAAAAGCAGTGCTTGCTTCTGTGTCTTGGCTGGTAGCAATCTCTTTTTCTTTTGCTCTCAATCTTTCACAGGCTCCAACAGCCGCAATTTCTTCCTTCCCTTCCTGAACCCAGGCTGGGGCTGCTGAGTTCCCATCACAGCATCAGGACACCTTTAGTAAAGCTAATTTTTTTTTTTCCTACATCTTCTACGAGTCGTTCCACAGTATTTCTGCATGTTCAGGATGCCCTTGTGCCTGCAAGATGAGCTCATTCATGTGCTGACACTTCTTGTTCATCTTTTCCTACCACTCCAGCTAGGACAAACAGTCAGGTACCCATTCCCTGCATGGATGGCTCAGAAGAGAAAGCAGCTCTTCCAGTCCCAGTGGTCCACAAGCATATTTTGGTGGAGAAGTCAAAATCTGAGCCCACTGCAGGAACCTAATGTAATGGAGAAGATCACACAAAGGAGCTTACGCTTTAGCAAGGTCACAAACAAAGACTTGGACACCACATAAATGCTGGGAGAAGCACAGGGAAGACTCTTACCCGTTGGAACCTTGCAGAGCTGAGACTGAGCCCTCACACAGGCACTAGCCCACAAAAACATAGTTCTGTAGAGCCAATGAGGAGCTTTAGACTTCACAGAGAGATGACAGCCAGGATGAGAATGTACTATCAGCAATATGCTACTTTAATCAGCATTGAAAACATGATCAACTTTGAAGGAGACTTTTAAAGACAGAAATAAGATGTACTACAATTTCAATTTTCTCCCTCTCTCTCTGTTACTGCGACTAAAATATGTGGTTGATCTTGGAAGCTCTACTGCAGCTTACAAAAAAACAGTAATAACATTCACAGTAATGGAACTTGCAGCTGGAGTAGGGCTGTTTTGTTTCTTTTCTCTCCCATGAGTCTTCCTTGGGTCTTTTTTTTTCCATTCTGCTCGAAACAGATTTTGATCTTTCCTTTATTCCTAGGAATGGTTATCCCCACTGACTCACTTATCTAATAATAGCTAAAACCTCTTAACTCAAATTATTTCATTCCTGCATTTTTAAGATTAAAGTAAACATACAGTTAGAGTATTACTGGGAAAGTGGCAATAGAAATAGCATGATGAAATTACCCTGTGACTCAATTCTGCAGAGTGTGCTGAATCCTTTTTAATACATTTCACAAGTAGTCGGTGGTGACCTCTAACACCAGAGCGGTTTCTCTCTGACAGTAGCTCAATTTCACAACTCTGAATACGTTTTATTTTTTTGAAGGAAAGCCATCCGAAGGTTTTTATAAATCATTCTTTAGCCTTTGGGAATGAGCCAATCTAATGCCAGGGTATCATTCCCTTTCAAAGAGTTGAGGGATTTGAAGAAATACAATCTGCTTTGTGAACAAAGTGAGATGAATATAGTTGTGGTTTTGTTAGAAACTGAGCTGGAGAGTTTGGATACAGAGCTCAACTTTTTCAAAGTTGAGCTGTGGCTCTTGGTTTGTCAGCTGTGTTTCCCTGCAGTGCTCCTTTCTGAGCCAGCCCTTCTTACAGCTCCAGCACACATGAACACTTGCATCAGGAGGAGATGGCAAAGGAGATGCTGCTGCCAGCCAAAGTGTCTATCATTTGTCAGTCTTAAAATAAGAAGGGAGGGCAGGTCCCTCTGTAAGGTCAAAAATCACCAGCAGAAGTCCAGCTTGGTTTTAATTACTGTTTTTCTATCTGCAGTTGAAAAATGGGCAGGATCATAGCAAATAAACCTCCAGCCACTTAAAATAGCAAGCTCTGAAAAAGCTTCCTGAAAGCCAGGCACCTGGGATCCCATGCAAAGGTGCAGTCTCTGCTGCAGCCACACTCAGCAGCACCAGGCACACACACATCACACCCACCCCCTCCCAACCACCACGCAAGTCGCCAAAAAAAAACCTGCTGGAGCCACGGAGACGCTCAGTCACATCTAGCTTTATTTTAATCCTGTCAGAAAAGTTCAAGAATTACACCAAAAAATACTTTAGTCTCTGCTACCTACTGACAAAAAATACACCACAAAATTATAAACTGTTCAGTGGTTTGCTGGAGTTTTGATTGTTGTTGGAGGGGGTGGTTTGTACATTTTGAGTGAAAATTAATTTACAGGTGGAAGGGGAAGGAAGGATAGGAAATCAGACAATGGCATTTGGCACTACATTTTTAGCTACACTATACAGTTATTTATCATGATGCCTGTTAGGACTGAGGAGTTCTGCCCTCATTTACACCCTCTATTGTCTATGTATGCAAAATGGAGGACACAACTGCCCAATGCGGGGGAAGAAGGGGCCAGTTCCTAATTTCCATCCCAGTCTAGCCACAAATCTGAAAAAGCAGCCTTAGTCAAACGTGAAGCTTGCCTTCCTGTGCACTCTGCTCCTGCAGCTCCATCTCACCCTGCCTGTGCTACCAAGGAGCAGAGCTGCTCTGCAGCAACAGCTTGCAGCTCTGAAAGAAGAGAATCCCTTATCTTTATTTAAATCCCAACAGTCTGCACTAATTGCACATGCCATTTGCAGGGAGAGGGTGTTTTATGTTGGCCAGGACTGGATTAATCTTAGGGTCTGGTCTGTGTTTGCAAGCAGAGGTTCGATGGAACCCTTGTACTCTGAGAGCATGCTACAGACATCCCTCTCTAATTACCTAGAATGACATTAAATACCAAAGTACCTGAAGCTGACGGAGGGAAGCAGGAGTTTCCCATTTCACGGGTGAGGGAAAATGAGGGGCTGAAAAGTTAGAGGCTCAATACTGTTCTACACTATGACCACTCTCGAAAGGCTCCTTAATTCATAATGGCATTTCTTTGTCTCTTGGTGACCCAAAGAGAGGTCCCAAAGGATGAAGCCTCATGTAAATTGCCAAAGGTCATGCAGGAAATCTGTGCCAGAAGCAGAAATAAGGCTTTGGTCTCCTGACTCCTAGTCCTGTGCTCACAAGTATATTCATGATTTCACTACAGCAGCCTCTGTCTGCTTCCATCCTGCTCCATAGCCAAACAGCAATCAGGATTTCAGCCTCAGAGCCCAGCTAAGATCACCAGCACAGTGGCAGCTCATTACAGAGCCCTAGATCTTTCTGGATTTACTTAGGACACTGCACAGGGCTGTGTGTGCCTGTGTGTTTGGACATGTCTATGGCTAAGGGAGGAGGGGATGCTTGTTATTTATCAGCAAATGAGCACTGATGCTAGATTCAATCTGACAGCAAAATATCCCCCCTTTGGCAAGCTAAACAACATCACAGTGTCTTTGTACCAGGTTCTTTCTGCCCCCTCTCTCAAAAGGATTTCAGCTGTTCCTTCACTGCACGTTAAGCCTCTGTCACAGCCTTCCAGCAACGATAAAGCTTCGCAGGATTCTCTTTGCTGCTTTTATCCTCTCTGGCTGTTTATCTAATTTGCTTTTTTTGTTTTTTAATTTCTTTTTCTAACAAATAGTTAAGCAATGATTTAAAAATATTTTTACATTGTAAGGTACAGTCAACATCAAACATGCCTTTGTACAAGAGCTCAACTCAGTTACAAATCAACGAGAACAATGCACGAAAAGAAATATCCATTAAGATGACTCCTGCACTTGGGCTTTACTTATTCCCGCCGTGCTGTCAGCACAGCACCCTCAGCTAGAGCAATGCAGTATAGACACGGTGTTGTCCCCCCACCCTCCCACTTTGCCCACCACCCCTTGTCAACTTTAATGACCTTCAGTCTTGGCAGCCTTGGCTTCGTGGTTTACTGACCCTGACGACAGCCAGGGCGACACGGCCCGGGAGCTGGTCTGCTTGGCCATGCTGTAGTGGCTGATGACAGTGTAGAACCTGCCCCGGGAGTTGGAATCCTGTGCAGAGTAGTAGGCGTCCAGGGAGGCCGGGATGCACCGCTTGTGCTGGAAAGGGGAAGAAAGCAAGAGAGGGAAACAGTGGTCCCGTCAGCCTCAGGCTCTGGCTCTGCAGAGCTCAGGGGGAGCCGTTTGCTCGGCTGCCGCTGGACTGAGGCTCACTGCAGCAAGAGCATCTGCTGCACAGCCCCCTGCCCGTCCGTGCCGTGGGAACACAAAGTTCAGAGTCGGGCAGCAGTCTTCAAAACCTGTTGCTATTGGCAACCCTGATTGCAGGCTGATTTCATCCAGGGATGGGAAACGGGGACTGTGAAATGAAGGCCTGGCTGTCTTGGTGCGTTCCTGGCAGGCACGGCGAGCGAGGCCGCTTGCCGCAGTCCAGCAGGGCTGGCTGAGCAGCTCGCGCCACGCGCCGCGCTGAAAGCTCTGGAGAGCAAAGCCCAGAATTAATCCTCAGAGAAGAAGAGGATGGGCAGAAGCAGTGTAAGCTGCTTACGTGCTGCTCTGTTACAGTGTGTTATCTCTGACCTGTAGGACGACCACCTTGGTCAGGGATGGTAGGAAGTGTAGCCCAACTGGCCGGCCCTTGTCAGGGCTTCTTGTCTGTGCAGACACTGCCCACGCATCTCCACTGTGCTAGTGTGGACACCTGTGCACCAAGAACTGCACAGATAAACCAATTTGCTTTGCAACAGCTGTAAAAGAGCAATCAAATGGTAGCGAATGTTGGACTGGTTGGTATTCACCAGAGTCAAAGTAGCCCCAAGGAAACAAAGGGCCCCAGGTACAATTACTATTAAATTATGAGATACCCCAACTCCCAGTTCAATGTGACTAGCTGAAATTTGACTCCTAAACCTTCAATCTTTTTAGAAGGTCAGGTTTGGATCTGATTCTGAAATTCATTACTCCATCCTAACTTCAAATTCATGTAACCTAAGAGAGTAATTCATAATTACTAATATATGAACAGCTGTACTCTATTTTCCAGTCCACTGACCATCCCCAGTGTGGTCAAGACTCCCATGAGTTTATGAGTTTATTCACAGTAAGGAGGCAGGAAAGTATTTTGCAGATTTATATCTTTTTTTTTTTTAAATTCAACAGACCAATCAAATAGTTCTTTTTGGATATTGAATATAAAATCACTGGGCAGAAGAGTTTTAGCTGTTGTTACATGGCTGTGTTCCTGATAGAGGCTCAAAAGCACCTAAAAATGAACTACATGGGCAAATTCTGATTTCTTTCACAAAGGACACATGTGCCAGCACTCTGGGAGTTTGCATTCACACGTATGTCAGTAAACCTTAGTCACTTGAACGTGTGGGAAGCAAACGTGTGACTCCAGCTGCAATAAATCCATTCACAAATATGAGGGATTGTTCCTGAACATCTGTCTGTAGTGTTCACCAAATGCTAATCCTAACAATTACAGTGTAACAGTAGCTGATGGAGGCAGATGCAAGTCCCCATTTCCCATAACACTTTTCCCGTTTCAACACATTCTTGCCAAATGTTCTGTTTGGCCTGGTCAAAAAAACAGACTAGACTGTAACCATGTAGTCAATTAGAGTCCATCATTATCTCAGGCAATTCATTCGTCTGGAGTTTCTTACCTTATAAACAAATCCATCTGGGCAACTGTGGTCATAAGTGAAGGCTTTGTATACCACAAGAAACACTATGCAGGCAAGGAATGCAAGAGCCAGACTTATGAGAATAGTGACCTACAAAAGAGGGATAATGTTACTCGACATATGTTAAAATGGCATATGAGCAACCTCATAATTAAATGACTTATAGTAACAGCCATCCTAACAGACTGCAGTCTTCACTCCTCTGTGCAGTACTTAACTAAGCATGGTAATTGAATGAACACTGGATCCAAAAGCCCTGAATTCTCACATCATTTCCACCCCCAGCAGACCTTCAGGAGTGCACATTCCTCTGTTTAACCCCTTGCAAATGCACAGATTTTGAGGCATTGGGTGTTCTTGGTGGCTTTGTGTTCCCATGCTCTCAGCTGTTTGACTGGCAGCATCATCTTCTGGCCCAGCAGGATCTGCCATCAGCCAGAGTCCACAATCAGGGTCTCATCTGTGCAGATAAGCTGCTTTATAAACAACCTGCTTTTCTGACAGCAGAGGTGGGTGGGTAGGTGAGGAAGAATGAAGCCTTTGTAGCACACATCCCTTTGTGCCTTCTGGGCAATAAAACAAGGATAAGTTGTGCCTCAAGAACCCTGCGGAAGGGAGGGCAGGATAAAGGGAATCCTTCTCTATCAAAGCTATAAAAGGAGAATACCTCGACCACCAACATATAAATCCTGGGGCGTGTCCAAGAGCAGATGCTGTTGTTGGAGGTACCAGACACAATACCCTCTTTGGGGTCAAATATTCCCTCTCTCCTTATCCCCAGGCAGGCTACTTTGCTGTATCATTCTGTTTCTGCTGTAGCTTCCTTCTCTCCAGCCCTTCCAGGTCCCTCTTAAATCGTTCTTTCAACAGCAAGTTTCCTGACCCAGCTCAGAAATCCAGACTGAGGCCCTGATCCTTGAGTTTAGCTGAGCTGTGTCCTCCCTAAGGACTGAGCAAGGATCCTAAATGCACTCTCATTCTCCACTTCCCCAAAGCTTTCTTGCTCCCAGTTGGTAATTCTGAAAATGTAGCATAAATGGCTTTGGATTTCTACTGCTCATGTGACAGCAACCCATCCTGTCAAGACAGCTGTCTCACACGGATCTGGACTGGCAGGGGAAAAAAATCATCATCCCTGGGGCTCTAGTCTTACCATGCAAACTAGAGTTCCTAATCAAATGAACTACCTTAGAGAGATGATGGGGGTGGGAACAGCAGCAGGGAAACATTTAGAGCTGCCACATGGCCAGCAGCATGGGCAGGGAGCTGTGGCAGCTCCCTCGCTTGCTCTGGCTCGCTGGGGCTCAGCACCAGCAGCACACATTCTGCAGGGTGCTTGCCTGCCTGGGGAAGAGGCTGCAATGTTCCTGTGCTCGGTGAGCTGTAAGAGCCTGCACTGAGGAAGCTCCTACAACAAAAGTGTGAGGCCAGGCATGGGTTTACAGGAAGGACAGTGATCACTGAGGCTTTTTCCTACTGACAACCTCAATCTGTTTGCTTCAGAGTCCCACTTTCTCAACATGGCACCAGAAGCTGAGCCCAAGCCTGCAGATTCTCCTTGGTCACGTCAAAAGCAATCCACTGAGAGAACCACAATGGTAGGACATGGTGGGGAATGTGTGCCTGACCTCAGGTAATGCCCTGCCTGCAGGCATGCTACCACCATACCATGCACATGCTCACCCTCCAAAATAAGCTCCTGCCCTGTATCAGGACTGCACCTACCTGTACTCACGGGAATCATTATCATTTAGCACACTAGCAAGGAAAAGCCACACATTTTTCACCTCCATCTAGTCATTCAGGATTCACCCACACTTTTGTTGTTATAGTTATGTCACAATCCCTTATTTTCTTGTATGTGTACTGAAGCAAACTGAATAGTAGGTACAGGCAGAAGTTGTTCCTTAACTAACATATAGGAGGCTGGTGATGGTAGAAAGTGAGGAAATACAGAGATAATTCCTACAGTATAGTGAATGGGCTTGTCAGGAACAGCAGCTAATAGAGAGCAAGGTGGACACATCTCAGAATTCATCAATATAATATTATTAATATAACAATAATACTATGTAATATTAGTAATATTATATCCATAAACTAACTGCTTAATATGGGTTCACACTAAATTTTGCTCTAATTCTCTCCTTTGGTCGTCACAGCAGCTCTGAGAACCTGTATGCTATGCAATCCCTGAGCAGACTCAAAAGGGACACTAAGTGCTTGCAGTGCAAGAAAAGGCTTCTCACCTTCACCAACCTTCAGAAAGATGCACTGCCTGGTGAGATTACTCCTAAATTGCACACAGCACATTGGGGCTTAGAGAAGCTAAAGAAAACTTGGCAATGCCACCTGCAATGCTGGAAGATCCAGAGCTACAATTTTGGTGGTTAAGACAAAAACAGAGTGAAGGTAAATCTGCATGCACAGTGTTACCTCTGACCCAACACATCTAGTTCAAACCTCAGGAAAGAGAGAGGTGTGGAGACTGTAGCTAGGAGGAGAGATTCATAAGTTCATTGTTAAGTCAGAATATTTTATAATAAAGTGTAAAAAGCTAAGAATGTTTGGGCTAATATGCTTTTCCAATGATGAACAGGTCACTGAAGGCCCGACCTGCCTTTTGAAATAACTGCTTAGATTAACCTGCTCCTCAGAGCCCAATCTGTGACAAAATGGGTCAATTAAGCAAAAGCTGGAGAAGCACTTTCCACTGGATCTCATAAGAGAACATGTGTAAGAGAGTCCTGGTGTGCTGAAAAGGTAGCTGGTAGAAAAGCAGTACAGATGTATGAATTGTGCTAATCTGACCAAGAAAATAAGGGCTCCACCTCCTCTCCATAAAAGCACACTTGCCTCCAGGTTTGAATTGAAATATTTCAGACCAGCTTTGTGGTAGCCCATGGGATCCAAACCTGGGGAATCCATATCCCTTTTCATAGTGCTGAAGAGGAAGAAGTCTCACTTGGATTCAAAGGAGATGGAAAGGGAATTTGCTATGAGTTCTGCCCCAATATGATTTATATTACTCCTGAAAAAAATGAAAGAAAAAGCTCCCTTTGAGATGTATAGTCAAAAGGAGAGACAATACTCTCTACTTTTTCCAACAGGAAACCTGGGAAAAAAAGACCTCGTTCCAAAAAGACCCACCACAACCCAGTTCTGCCAGCCAATGTGGAAGGGCACTTCCCCCTGTAGTCATCAACTCTTCCCATTTAAAAGGGGAGCATGTTAGGCTTGGTACTTCCTCCAATAACAATTTTTGTAGTAATACAAAGTAAAATGATACAAGTCCATTGATTTGAAGGCACTAAAGCAAGGTGCACATCTTGCTCTACCAAAGCCAATGCTTAGAGAACAGCCCTGGTTAAAGATTTAGAAAATAAGAACTACTCAGCTCTGCAGTTTGGTTGCTCTGCCCTAAACACAATGTACAATAAAAAAAAAAAAAAAAAAATCTTGCTTGAGTTAAACTGAAGGAACAAACTTGTGCTCAGGGCAAAGAAAGAGACAAAGGGCAATGAAATGACACTGAATCCATAGAAGGTAACTCAGTGAGAAAGCACCTCTTGTCCCTGAGAAATGAGAAGCTGCTCATCCTCTAGCTTCCTTTAGTAAATACAGCCTTCATCATCAGGGCTAGCAAGAGCTGCACACCAGCAGGACACCTACAGCCCTGATTCCTTCTGTCCTAAGGTCTTCCTGGTTCCTTCCTGCCCCTCTGCATCAGTGTTTCCTCCATCCCAGAGGAAACCACGAGGGCTGACTGCACCTAGAGAAAGGGCTGTGAAAGGGGAATATCCCTGAACTATCAGATGTCTCCCTCACCCAGAATGACTCTGTGTGTGCCTTCCCCAGGAGTTGCCACCCAAGTTGCTTTGAAGGCTTCTCATTCTGAGCCAGTTAAAACAGCCACGTTCTTCCTTTAGCCTTCAGACAGAGCTGTCTGGAGGGAGAATGCGATTCCCTTCTTTTGTTAAATCCCACATGCACGTCCAGCCTATGGAAATGACCCTTAGTAATGTGATTTGACTGGTTCCTTTCCTCTTGTCTGCTCGCTGATCCCCTAAAAACAACAAATTCCCCTCTGCTCCAGCAAAGTGCTGATACCCAATCCATGACCTCCCAGGAGCAGATCTTCCACTGCGCTCTGCCCTCCTTCCGGGGTGTAACTGAACCCTTCTCACCTCTCTCCTGCCATTTCATGCGCTGGCAAAATGACAGCGTGACACAGTATTACATGTGACAACACACAGTGTAAAATTGCTCTGGGACGAAATGTCATGTAAGATGTTAAAATGCAGAGGAAAGGGAAGAAAAATCCACACCCCAGATGTTTTGCCATGCCAGAGCTAAGATCCACCTCTCTAGCTATTCCTGAGCATACAAAGCTTCATTAACATTCAAACACCAAAGAAGCACAGAGCTGCAATACCTAATAAACCTCCACCTTTTTTTTTTTTTTTTTTTTTTTATGATTAACATGAACCTTGGCAGTCTCTAAGCAATATAAACACTCACAGAGGGGAAATAAAATTTAGTGAGCAGATAAAACCTAGAAGTGCTGCAGACATGAATCTCTCATGTGTGACTGCCTGGGCAGGTAAAAGAAGGGGGAATTTGCCCTCCCTTTCCCCAAAGGGTTGTATGATTCCCTAAGGTTTCCTTAAGAGGGGAGTGTCTGCCAGAATGGAGAAGGGAGAACATGGTTACCACACCTCCATCCTCCACAAATCATGGAAAGAGGCCCCTTAACATCTCTGAAAGATGACATCAACCTCCCATCAAAAACGGCGTGCTTGGCTTGGTTCCTCCCCACCTTTCCCACAGATGAACTACATCTTGCATTTTCACAACAGCAGAGACTCAAAAAAAGACACATCCTCATCAGCCAACAGGACCTAAGCTGCCACTAGGGTTTGCTCCAGTGAGATGATATCTAACTGTAGTGGTGTTCCAGTTAGCCTGGCTCTCATGCTGTCCATACAAGTATCCTTCCTACTCTCTTTGACTTCAACAGCTTCCCATGTGGGATTTTTTTTTCCCTTTATCTACAATGAAAAGCCTTATTTAAAAGCAAACCAGAGAAC